CTATTTCCAAATCACTAAGTTTGTAAGATTGTATTAATTACTGTTTGATTAAATAAAAGGTTCTTTGTTATTTTCACTTGTAACATTTGATCTTTATTGCAGTGTACATTAGTCTATTTTTTATGTTGAGCGAAAAATAGCGGAAGGATACAAAACAAACAATCCAGACGAGGCTGGTGTTTGCCACGTGTGACGTCACACAGCTGGGTTAATGGCTGGCAAGCTTTTCGCTACCGGAGCGGAATAACACGGGAAAGTGGCACACATTTCATGTTATTTGGGGGGTATTTATGGAAAGAATCATTGATGTTGATATGTCAAATGAAACAGTGGAAAGTGATGAAGCGATTTATTAACACAGAATAACGTTTATTTTGGACATTTCATGGACTTTAAGTGCGAGACAATTTACATGGTTTAACCAAATGTTTATTAATAACATGACATTAATATTTCAATTCTAAATATCAAAGCTATCGTTAAACCCGTATTCCAAGGTAGGGCTGCAACAAAAAATGACTACCGGTAATAATTGATAAATCTGTCAATTATCTTCTTAATTTAATCATTCAAACATCTATTTTGTTTAACCAACAGTCCCAAACCATAATATAATTAAATTGCAGATCACTGAGGAAATAATCAAATATTCACATTTAAACTGGAAGCTGTACTCTACTGGCATTACTTTCTTAAGACTCAAGGAGAGGCCTCAGCGCATATATATTTACTATTAGTTAACTTGGCAAAGTAATACATTCAGCACGAGAAACAACAGCTTTTTATACAATTGCAGGTCTATCTAATTGAAGCCGCCACACACCACAGAAATCACCGGCCCCCCTCCACACATGACTTGTTGAACACTCATGTGGTTTCTGTGTTACCCCTCTTTAAGACCACCTTCTCCTCTCTTTGCAGATGTTGACTTACTTTGCGGCTTTTGAAGTGTTCTTTGAAGAAAATCTACCAAAGCTCTTTGCACATTTCCAGAAAAACAACTTGACCCCTGATATTTATTTAATCGACTGGTGAGTTGTTAACTTCCTGCAGTGCACGTGCTTGTTTCTTGTTTTAATCTGCTGTAGTTGATCCGTGTATCTCCCCCCCCCCTCCCTGCAGGATCTTCACTCTGTACAGTAAGTCCCTGCCGCTGGACCTGGCTTGCCGGGTGTGGGACGTGTTCTGCAGAGACCATGAGGAGTTCCTGTTCCGCACGGGGCTGGGGCTGCTGCGCCTCTACCAGGACGTCCTCTCCCCCATGGACTTCATCCACATGGCTCAGTTCCTCACCCGCCTCCCCGACCTCATCCCAGCGGATCAGCTCTTCCAGCACATCACTGCCATCCACATGACCAGCCGCAACAGGAAGTGGGCGCAGGTAGGATGTCGGAGAGTTACATTGGAGGGCTTTGGGTTGGTGCTAGGGCTGGGCAATATATATATTGATATTATATCAGTACTTTGATATAAGGCATCTTAGAAATTGGTATCGTGAGTGTTGATTTTTCTGGTTTTTAATTTAGCATTAATATATTAAAATAATACACCCATCTATATACATTATATATCGTAGTACTATGGTCACATCTTTACTTTAACTACTTAAATCAACATACATATGTTTATTCTATTTTAGTTTATCTCTTGATAGAAATATTCTTTCAATTATTCTTATCTGTTTATTGGACCTTATTTTTGTAACTTATGTTATTGTTATATCAATATTTTGATTACATTCTTCTATTTTGATTCATCTTTTAATTTATTCAACTAAGAAATAAAACCCAATTCACCCCAGGATAAATAAAGTCTTCTGATTTCTGGATTTACCAGAAATATCCACATTGTGTAAATATTTCCTGAGAGCATCAATAGTCAACCCTAAAATATAGTGACAATATCAAGGGCCACAAATAAATGAATGTCCTATTATCAGCCAGCTTTAGTCATGGCCAGTGGATTGGTGGATCTCTAACTGTTTCTGTGTGTCTCTCAGGTCCTGCAGGCGCTACAGAAAGATCCGGAGCGATGCAGCCCGGTGCTGAAGCGCTGATCTGAGATGAGCGATGCAGCCCGGTGCTGAAGCGCTGATCTGAGATCAGCGATGCAGCCCGGTGCTGAAGCGCTGATCTGAGATCAGAGGAAACCAGGTCCCCTCCAGCTCTCGGTGAATCAAACTGGACTCTCAGCAGGCAGAGTACGGACCTGAGCAAGACTTTTAACCTCAGCGGGACACGTCTGAGATAAACCTCTTGCCTCGCTGCTCTAACAGGAACCAGCACCCTGGAGGGGGAGAGAGAAGGGACACAAGGCCTTATTTATCTCCCATCACCCCTCCTCCCTTCAGAGGCCCAGCGAGAGGCGGGAAAGTGTAGCTGGTAGAGGCTGAAGAATGTATCACACACACCAGAGGAAATCAACTTTAATCCTCCACTCTAATTTGAATTCTATGCTGTCGATCTTTCTAGCTACACTTCCACTCGTCTTTTCTCTAAATGTGGCTTTTTAGTGCAACAAATCTCCACATCTCGCGAGTCACAGCTTCAGCTATATCTCTTAGTTTCTGCACCTTATTTTTCTCAGATCTTCTGTCATTCCTTCACTTTGATTTTGAATGTGTTTTTAATTTGTGTTGTTTCCTTTTCCATTCCATGAAGTCAACTCTGTCACGAGTTATACATCTATGAAATGCACGTCGCCTTCATGCTGAAGACAAATTAGTGTCTGCGAGAGCACCGTTACATTTGTTTTAAAACCTCTAAAAGGAGGTCGTAAACTGCCTGTAAAATTAGTTTTGCAGATTATTTATGTCGATGACACTGGAGTAAATGATGATGCTGCTGTAAAACACAGTCATTGTCACACTGGACCCCCACCCTAATGTTTGAGGTGCATTTCAGCTTGTTAGTGTTCTGATTCCTGATGTCTTGGTGTGGGTGTGAAGTCTTTAAAGTTTGTATTTATTCATATTTATCCAAAACAGGACTTGTTCCAGTCAAATGAAGGGTTTTCGCTGAGCCTCTCCCCCACAAGCACATACTCGATTTGAACAATGAAAGTAGTAACAGCCCTAAATAGATAGAAAAGTCGTCATATGCACTCTTGCAAGTACATACTGTAGCCGCTGTAATCTAAGACACAGCAGCTTGACATTCTGTAGCAAACTGCCCGGCTTTTATCGAGTATGTATGGTTTATGGTGATAGTTTCATCAAGTTTTCTCGGTCTCTAAAGCAAGAAAGCGCTTCATAGAGTCGACTAGACACGATAAAAGGTGGCAAGTGTGTCTTTTTTCTTACCAACGTGTTTGGACTCAGATTTCCTGTTATTGTGAACACATGTGGCCGTCAGTAAACACCTGTGGAGCTCTGTGGCTGCTCTTGTTCTCTGTGTGCAGGCCCTTAATGTGGCTGCGTTCACAACGTGGTGGATGTGTCCCGACCAGCAGGGGGCGGGGCCAGTATTCAGATCAGTGGTGGTTGAGCTTTTATTACCAGCATTGGTTTGATGAGTAATGAGAGATCGGGTAAAAATTTGTCCAAATTACTTTTTTGTCTGTTGAGATTTGAAATCAATCTATTTGTTGACACTGGTTCGACATTTGTTGATCTTAATAAATGAAGGACCATCTTACTTATGATCCCGTACAGGATGATAAATGTATTTTTTTCCGTGTATGTTGCCCATTTTGCACAGAAACGGCTAACGGCATTTCTTCGTGAGGAACTTTTGTGTTACTTCCTGTTTCCTGTACTATCTAGCTTAAATGTACTTTATTAAATGCCTGGACTGCAGCTGAAGTATAACGGGAGCACTGGGTGTGAAAACAGGAAGCGCCTTTCATTTGTAAACCATCATGTTGTGCTTGTCTGTGTTTCAGTGTGTGCGTCAGCTAAGCACCATGCAGCACACTTTCTGATCACTCTTCTCGATGCAATCCCCCCCAGTGTGGTGACACACCGCAGGACTGCAATAAAGCTTTTTGCACATACATTTAAGCCTTTGAGTTGTGCCTCGCATCATCCCTTTCTGTCATCAATCGCAGGTTTAAACGAGTTGTTTGCTTTTGATCCTTTTTCGAGCTCAAGTCGTGACAATGCAAGTGTGTTTGTGTTAAATGGCATTTTCACCAACACTACCCTCCTCCGATAACAAAACACCACTGTGTGATCCACAATGAAGCAAAATTCAATCAAACTAATTTGAAAGTGTAATGTGCTGTCATTTCTTGTTTGTTTTGATTTGTCTCTTTCTCCCCCCCCCCCTTCCTGGAGAGACCTGTTCTGTTGTACTGTAGAGCGACATGGAGACGGCTGAGGGTGACCATGCAACTTTGTCTCACTTGAACTGTATACAAACAATGCTTTTATTAAAAAATAAAAAGCTGTACATATTCAACCAGCGTGTCTTTATCTGTAGAACATGTTTATTTTTGTACCCTTGACAGACCTCATCAACTTTACATTTCCAATTTTCTCGACTCCAAAAGCCTGCTGACCAAATAACTATCAGAACATGGAGTCAAGACTTTTGACCCCCTTACATTATTATTATATTTAATGTGGGCTCTTACCACACGCTCAAAACAAACTTAAGAGTACATCATTTTAATCTTGTGTCAATTTTAATATTTCACTTCCAGTAGTTCTTGTTTCAGTTGAATTTTCTTGCCTTAATATTTATTCATGCATTATGTATGTATATATTTATTTATTTTATTCATTTTTCAATCTTTTGTATTTTATTTATTATTTATTATTTCTGTTTCTTGTTCACTAGAATTTGTTGTTTTGTTATTTTATAGCTGAGCTTATTAGGTAAATGAGGTCAATATAAATAAAACTTCAATAAACGTTACTTAAAGCAGCTTCTAATGAGCACTAAAACTATTTATACATTTTTATTTGCTATATTTTTTAAGTATTCGTATATGGAAAGTAATAAATCACCCTTAAATGCAAAACACATCTTAATTTCCGTGTCTTAATAGGTGTTAAGAGATCTTTAGAGTTATTAAGGGCTGAAGTGATATCGTAGCATTTGGTTTCGCAGTATTTCATGTCAGTACTTTGAGCTACATCTCTTTAACCACATGCATTTCCTGTAATCTACCTCAGCCTTTGAAAAACCCAGCGGAAAGTTTTGTAGCAGGCAAAAAGTCACCTTAAAACCACAATGTCCTCCTTCCTTTACACCAGCAACACCTTCTTTTTTTTGAAATACTTTTTTGATCGTGATAAACGCAACACCGCACCACCTTTTTGTCAGAAGCACTATCCTGCAGACGAGGAGCGGTTTGATATTAACCTACATCATCACATCCAGAAACATCTCCAGAAGCCACCATGAGGACCAGTCACATCCTCCTGCTCTGCATCCTGGGACACGCTCTATTCGCCACGGTGTTCTGCAACAGTAAGATGATTTAAGATGTTATGACTTAAAACATTTTCTGTTACACTTCTCAACTCATTATACTTTTTCTTTCTCCAGATGCTAGTGGTCCTGACGACTGCTGCTTCGAATACTACCCGAGAAGTTTGAACAAAATATACATCCGCGAGTATTACATGACCGACCACAGATGCCCAAGGACTGCAGCCGTGTAAGTTAATCCTTAGATTTATATGATATAATGACCAGAATAAGCATAATAAGTTAAAAACCTTCACAAATGTCCCTTTTCTCATTAAATACAGTATATTTCATACAATAAGATTTTGAGTCTCCATTTCCTACTTTGTACTTGGTTTTAAACTGTTATTTTATTCCCTTTCCTTCCTCCTTTTACTTATTTATTTCAGTCTGACCACGATGAATGGTGCTACCCTCTGTGTGGATCCGAAGCTTCCCTGGGTTGTGAGGGTCATGAAAAGTTTGGACCAATAGAACTTTTAAAACTCCATGCCCGCTCATCCTTCTTTTAAAGTGCCTGCGCCATCTGTTGCTTTAAAATGCAATGAGATCATGATTTTGGTGTGAATGTGTAAATCTGTAATGGTTGAAAAGCATTTTACCCCCAAATGGATTCCTTTTGATCCTGCATTGATATAACCAACCTGTGTTTTTTTGCTATTTCTTTGGTTGCTTTGTATTACCCATACCGTTTCACTGAATAAAGAACAACGTAAGGAATACCGACTCTCCTCTTTTCCTTTGCCCATTAACACTGTTACATTTTTGCTGCATGATTACCGACCGTGAGTATTACTGGAATTAATCATATAATATTTATTATTGTTTTTCTTACAATCTATTTGCATAGTTATAGTATCACAGGAGTAAACAGAGATCATAATGAGGACTCGTATAAAGACCATTACAATCAGTAAAGACGACTAACAATAAGCGCATAAACTGAATGTCTGCCTCTTGTGGCTCATTTCAGGTCTTACCTTTGCAAATAAGAACATTTAGTTTTGGTCAACAAACTAAAATGAGCTTTAAAATTGAGATCAGAATCTAAAATGAGCAAAGAGTACTTGTGGTCATGTCTTCGAAGCCAAATTAACTCATTTGAGAGAATAATGTTCCTTTTTTTTTTTGTTCCAACTCGGAGAATCTTAAAACCATCTTGTATTTTTTATTGTAGTTCATCAAATCTGTTGTCTGGCCTCACAGTCTTAACTGTGAAAAGAGTTTTTAAATGTAAATGTTTATATATTTTGTGTTATGCATAGATTTGTATTTATATTTTACACAACTCCCCTTCTCTTTTAAGCAGCTGTTTTCTGTCATATAATATTATATACTGTCCAAATTATTGCATTCAAAATAGCAAAACACAAATTGCACAGAATGTTATTTGATGCAATATTCTACCCTAGGCTGCTAGTGTGCAGCTTTAGAAATGCTGGCATTTGTTCAACGTCATAATGATTATGCTGCCACCTTTTGGTACAGCAGTTAGAAATAAGCTTCAGAATATTTACAATAAATTATAGTTTGATACAAATAATACCTCATCTCATTGCTATTTCTAGTTTTGTCAAATATAGCTTTATTATCATGTGTTTTAAGTTGTGACCCAAACTATAACTTAACAAAAGTCTCATCAAAATGAGTGTAAAAGTGAATCTAAAATAAGGCAAACGTTATCAGAAACACCGAGATTCTTCTTCAAGAGATGATGTCATTTGAACAAATGTTTAATCTACTGCCATAAAAAGAGGTTTACAATTTATAATCTGAGTTGAACACTGTGATAATAACCTAAGAACACGTTTTCTTTATTTATACAGAAACCTGCCAAACTACTACTTCTTGTAAAACCAGAGGTAGAAAAAGTACTCAAGTATATTGTACTTGAGCAAAAGTAGAAGTACCAGAGTGTAGAAATACTCTGTTACAAGTAAAAGTCCTGCATTGCAAATGTTACTTAAGTAAAAGTAGAAAAGTATTAGCATTAAAATATACTTAAAGTAGCAAAAGTAAAATTAGTCATTGTGCAGATTGGTCCATGTCAGAATAATATATATGATATGTTTTGTAATGATTGATTATTAAAGTGTTATTAAAGCTGGTAAATGTGCAGCTAGTTTGAATGACTTTGTATACTGCAGGGTAGCTTGTGAATTGACTCCAGATGGAACTAAAGTCTGATTCAAGACTTGATTATATTTCACATCATTAATCCAAATCCGCAAAGTAACTAAAGGTAATAAATACATGTAGTGCAGTAAAATTACACAATTTATCTCTGAATTGAAGTGGAGTAGAAGTACAAAGTAGCAAAACGTTTAAATACTCAAGTAAAATACTAGTATCTCAACATTGTACACTATAGTAGGCTACTAGTAAATGTACCTAGGTACTTTACACCACCCGGTAAAACATATAACTTTCATAAACTCATACCGAATCCAATTGTTAAAATACAACCTCCATAAACTGAATACAACAATTGTGTCAATAGAAAAAGTGGGGGGTCAAAACCCTTATCCTGATCAGATCCTGATGATACTCTCTATGACGCCATTGCTGCGCGACGGACTTGTTGTAGACATGAGAGCGAAAAATCTGCAGTGATCCGGCTCAGCGCATCTCGTTCTTTTTCACTTCTTATAGATATTCGTGTCGATTTCACACAGATGTCTGTCTGCAATCTATACTTAATGTTTAGTGTTTAATTTGTTCGTTGAACCGGAAGACCTAAAAGAAATCAAAGTTCTCAAGGAGGTGACATCTGGCTCCTGCACACCTGACTTCATTGAATGAGGTTTAACATCAATTAGCATTTGTTTTGGTTCGATACCCTGACTCAATTAAGCACTCCCAACATTCAGTTGGAAGCAGCTGGACACACATTCATATAAATCTGCAGTCCAACGGTAAGCATATGATATGAACACCTAGCTTTGGAAGCACTACAGTAAAGCCGGGCGTTTTATTTTGTTGTTGCTAACATGGCAGCTCCCTTCTAGCTAGCTAACGACAACATAGCTAACCAGCTAACATGCTAGCTAGCATAGACAACGGATTATTGGAGAGCTATGGTTATTTCAGTTGGTTATAAATGGTGTTGCGGGGGCTTCGGATAGTTATAGTTACATACAAAACACAGTTTGCAGTTAATTGGGATTTTATTTCGGTTTTAAGTGCTGAAACTGTGACGGTGATGCTGCTAGCGCTAAATGCGAACAAGCTAGCCTGGGTAGTGACTATTTCCTGCACCGGAAAGAATTGTCCCCTTCATAGAGCTGCTTTTTTAAAAGCATATCCCCTGCAGAAAATTATGCACTTTAATAAAAGCTAATTCGCCCATTTGCTTAGTTATACTTGTACCCAGTGTAGCTAGCAGGCTAAATTACATATCCGCTTTCCGACCAGGTGCACATGGTGACGACAGTCCCGGTGTTACAAAGCTGCTCTCTGCTGTAACACAGCCATATGCATTCTGAATGAAATGTGTATAATGTAAACCAAGTGTTGCTTGCTAAACGCTGGTCCTATGTCAACAAGAACAATTAGGTTTAATTACCTTTTTAAGCAGGTATTATTTATGCACATTATCAATTGTCCGTTGGGAGGTCATAGGTCATTCTTATTTCCATTTCGTGGTAAAGTGTTGCATTTTCCCGCTTGTTGTTCCAATTGCAGCCCTGTCATTATAGAGCATGAAGGGTGCTTTGCTGAGGTGCAGAGGTGGAAGAAGTACTCAGATCTTGTACTTGAGTAAAAGAAGAAGTACCAGAGTGTAGGAATACTCTGTTACAAGTAAAAGTCTTGCAATCAAAATGTTACTCAAGTAAAATCATGAATCAGCATACAAATATACTTAAAGTAGTACTCATTATGCAGATTGACCCATTTCAATATAATACAAATTGCATGTTTATATTATATTATTAAACTGTTTATCAAAGCTGGTAAAGCTTCATGACTTTGTATACTGCAGGGTAGCTTGTGAATTTACTCCAGGTGTAACTAAAGTCTGATTTAAGAGTTGATTATATTTCACGTATTTCAAAGTAACTAAAGGCAATGTACTGGAGTAAAAGTACACCATTTACCTCAAAATTCTAGTGGGGTAGTACAAAGTAGCAACACATTGAAATACCCAAGTAAAGTCTAAGTCCCTCAAAATTGTACTTAAGTACAGTACTTGAGTAAATCTACTCAGTTACTCTAAAACACTGCTGAGTTGTAATGTGCCACAACCTTACTCCGCAGCTCAGAAGGATTATCTTAAAGGGACTTTGATTATGTCACAGTTGTTTTTCTGTCCACTTGTGACAATTTCCACAAACTGTGTAGCATCACTTCTTTTCTCTTCATATGTCAACTCTCCTTTCCAAGGCAGGGGCTGCTGCAGGCTGATGTTTAAATGTTAGTTTGGCCATTGCTTTCATTCCAGGCTGACTATAGCCATTTTTTTCATTATAATCTACATGTGAAAATGTTATCTACTGCTGGATTTCAGGTCAATTATTGGTTTCCCATTTTCTCCTAAGCCAGCTGATTTTAAAAGATGTTTCCTCTTACCCTTTGTTTAATCACATGGTGTTTTTAATTAGAAAATTTGATATTTCATTTTCCCAGAATGTGGTGATGAACATCATTTAGGAGAAACATGGCACAACTAAATCTTATAAATTACCAATGTGACTAGTGTGGAGCATGGCGGATAACCTTTTTTAACATCTGCATTTCTAGAGAAAGTAAAGTAAACTGTGTTTGTGGTCTGCAGGTGACGAGCTGGCGCAGGTTGTGGGTTGTCCGTGGATAATGCGAGACAGTGGCGGTAGCCTGGCCCAGAACCGCTGGCAGGGTGACTTGGGTCTGACCGCTGTGGGGCAGGACGACACTGGAGGAGGTGGGCTTTTTATCAATCGTTAATGTTTACATTCCTGCTAGCTGCATGATAATTTATTTTTATTACACAGCTCAGTTGAATACCAGATTCTGGAACTGCAACAACTTAACTTAAAATGAAGGTTTTCTGTGTCCAAGTCTACTCACATTTTCTTTTTCCACGCCAGAACCCATACCCTGTTACTGTTAGTTCGTACATACCCTCTCTCCCTTGATCATCCTTAGCAACGTTCATTATTTTTGCTTAGTAACGCTGTCTTATCGAGTATTATTGCACGGCTTGGTTGAATACTTTTCAGAGTTTGTTAATACTCGAACACACCTCTGCTAAGCAAAAATAATGACCTTTCTGCATATTATCCATTACATAATAATGCATTTTCTTTTAATGGAACTGTATCATAATGAACAAAATAAATCCCAGTTTTGTACAGAACCTTTTTTTTTAAAGTCACACTATGATCATTTAAATTGTTAATAATAATAATTTAATTGTTATTCATTTTGTATTATTTTTAATATCTCAAATCCAATCACAATTGCATTGCAAGTCAATATAATAATATGAATTAATTTTTTCAAAGTCGTGCAGTCCTAATCGGATATCACAATACACAATTACTTTTTCTAAATGTATATTATAACAAGCACATTATAACTCAAATTTGAAACAAAAATGTCAGGTATTAGACAGCATGTGTTCGGTAAAATGAACCCTAGTATTATTTATAAAAAATTCTAACCTAAAAATAAAAAAATTTGGGAAGAAATGCAGCTGATGATAGTCAATGTTTGTATCCAGGTGGGATTCCTGGGGACCA